CAACGCCGAGGGAGGGCGTGTTGGATAGAGGCCTCCGCCACGGGATCAAGCGAAGAGCGCTTTGAGCGAGCGCCCGTCCATGAACAGGTATAGACGAGTTTGTAACTCTCCCGTACGAGACGCAACAGGAAGTAACCTGTTAATTTAGATAACCGGGAGTGCTAGAGTTCATTTTCTTTCAGGATTGTCCTAGTGGCCGGTGGCCGCCCAGGAGCCTTCACCGACCTCCCTTCGTCTCTCTCTCTATTACATTCGCTATCTTCTATTCACTGTCAGTTTTTTTCGTCAAATAAACTATTCGTCGACCACTCTACTCACGCATTCAAACGGACACGGGGCACAACAACCCACAAATAGAGTTCTTGCCCGTTTGTATCAGAGTGCGAGCTACAGTAAGGGCGACGTGCACAATGACAATTTTGACTTATGTGACAGTGAGTCTCATTTCGTCCTTATTTATCCTACTGACACATAGCGTGAGTTAGGTTCCGCACGGTGGAACTCTGGTGAGTAGTCTCATCGGTTATACCCGTTCTTCGGGGGTTTCGAGACACGAACGTCGAAACGTTAGCGTGGGGAAGTTTGATGTAAGCGGTTTAAGCGCAAATTAAAAGCTTCGGAAACCTTTTTGTCTCTGAAGAAGACGAGAAGGCCGAAAATTTGGGCCAATAAAAAGGTTTCATCTAACAACCTCGTTTGGCACAAATAATTAAACATTCTCTTATCTATGCCGCGAGGGCTCTTATGCCGCCCTGCGGCGTGATCAACTGTGGTCAATGCGACCACCCACATGGCGCCTCTGATTTTCAGCCTATTCCCACGTCCTTTGTGGTCCGATCCATGGCGATCCACATCGGCTTCCCTTACAAATTAGCTTTGCTAGTTCACGTTAGGTAACACACTTACGAACCTTTCATGACTAGAAAGACCATTGCGAAACTGCAAAGGAGCACAAAAGAGTCACTTCAGTTACAAAAATCTTGAGGGTTTTCTCAAGGCGGTCGGTACTAATTTCGCTAACCATAAGTGCCATCAGGGGCACTCACCAAGCCGATTGGCGCCCGATTCTTTGGTGGGTGACGGGGCATGAAACTTCAGGTACCGGCACAAAATGTCTTGGCACCTGACGTGTTGGACTGCGGACCTGTACTGCGCTAGCGTCGTGGTACCGTATTTCCATTTTTGATAGAATAATGCACCTTTCCTGATTCAAACAAACCGTTTTTTTCTGCAGGAAATCTCATAAAATGATTTTTTTAGCAGGAGAAGGTTTGAAAAATCATGTGTATATTCCTTCTAACTTGTGGGATTTGTACTGAGTTGCAAGACCGAATGACTCAATCGATGTTGAACGCTGTTGAGAAAGATCGTCTTTGTTTAGATTCTTACGCGATCGAAGACAACATACGCCGGATAAACACGCTGTACATCTCTTTGACTGAAGTTCACAGCTTTTCATTTGCACTACAGCTGCTGTATCACCTCAACGATTCAACTACTAAGTGTTTTGCTTTAGAGCGTCATGGTAATCCAAAGGTATAAAAACCAACTTAGTCCTCAATTAAAAGTTTTCAGAACGCTCAAGAGCTCCAGAAAATGGAAGAAAGCTCAAAAGATCCAAAAGAAGGAGTTCGGCATCGTTCACTGGATCTAATGGATCTTTTGAGCCTTTGGGATTGCTCTACTTTCCAGGGTATGAGGCGGACCCATGTATAGGGCGCAGCTTCGCTTAAAACGTCGCGAATGTTTCTTCTTCACTTTGTTTCGAAGTGTTTTGTTTGTTCTTACCTTAGCAATATTCATGACCTGTATTTGTGAACAGTTCATGAGCGATTGGAATATTATTACCATGCAAAAAGTTAGGAAAAACTTATTTCTGGGTTCACCAAATTTCGCGCGCGTTGCCGCGTGCGATTCTGCGAAATGCGTCTCAAACCCCACAAAATAATATGGAGGTCCTGGTCTCAACTCTTCCCCCTTGATGCCACTGAAACAAAGATGTTCTACTTGACTATTACACTTGGTTTAATTACTATTTTCCATGAATGTATCACCAAGAAGCCTGTAACTTCCTCTTTCCTGTCCCATTCGCAGGTTCATTCCTTTCGGATGATGCCGTCTCAGTCAGTTAGAGTGGGCACTTCTACCCTGCATCATGCGCCTGATGAGCAGCTACCAGCAGTCAGAAGTGCAGTTGTCGAAATTCAAAGGCTGCTGTGCGACTTCCTTTGTTCTCTTCACGTTTGTGAAAGAAAACATTGTTGAAGATTCTTTTCTATTTGTATGATTTGCAAAAACCGATTTCTCTGTGTAGTCAGACCTACATTCCCCGCACTGACATTGCAGGGAATCACAGATATTTGTGTGTGCGGGCGGTCGTTTGAATTCCTTTCAATGCGTTTTAGATTATCATTAGGGCGGGATCGCTGGTGGCCACTAACACTTCCCTCGTTCCTCTTTCGTCCTTGCCGCGCATGAAAAGGTGGGACAAACCAAGATTTGAATGGCTCTGCCTACACGATCAATGTGGAAAGTTTCAAGAATGGGATCAAATTCCATGCCTCATGGTGGAAAAGTCCTCATGCAGCCACATGGATTTGACTTGTTTTGTTGCCCCACCAACGCAATTCTAGTTGCTCGGAGTGTTCTCGTCAGAACAATTCGTCTTTTATCCTTTTCTGAAACTAAACCTTACCTACCTTCCTGTTCAAAGGTAAGTTCGGCAGTTGAGATTGGTTTCCAAGCCTCCTCTTGGCCATTTTTTCGGTTTTTTTTTTCGTAACTTGGCATGGACAGAATGGTTCAGCAGAGCAGCTTGAGATCAACATGACGCTGTCTCGTTGGCAGGGTGAGGCGCTGCTGGTGTGGGAGATGCTGCGCGCGTTCATAACCAGTGTGGTACGTGTTTTTGAAGAGGCACCACTCGAACAACATCCATATACATAAGTTGAAACCATCGAAACGTCTGACATATCTATGAGATCAACTGAATATGTTATGAGTGATTTCGTCGCAATTAGTGTGCGCGTAGTCAGAGGGCGTGGAATGAGTCCCACCCGCTGCTTTTTGTACCTCTAACTTTTTCTTCCTGAACCGATCATTACAAAGCATTCAGGAATGGGCTCGTCCCGGCCTTTTGACATCACTGCGACTGATTTCGATGACATCAACTAATTTGTGTCCAATGTCCGTGCGGATTAATTGAAGGATTACGGTTACTGCAGGGTAACCCCATACCAGCCTTCCTCTTTTATGTGTATCTGCCTCTTCTGGTCTGGATCCTTGCCATCGTCGCGCTCGCAACCATGCTTCTCGATGCCCTGGAAGTATCGACTCTTCAATGGTATCGAAACTTGGAACAGTGTATCAAATTCTTGGCCTACATAAAACGAATCTCTTCGCACTCATTGCAGCCACAACCGTAGCGCGGGGTTATAACATGAAAACATTTGCATGAGGAGAATGACGCGATAAGGGCAGACAACGTGTGCGGGTCAGGAGACCCGCATTGAGGTGAAATGCAGAAATTTGTTAGGTGGCTGTGGCATTCCCTAACTACGTGGGTGTGCTCACTGTAGCACATCTGCGTGAGCCAGTTGGGTCCTGGATGCGAATGTCATACGTACTACGCTACTTGCAATGTTGCTACTCTGCAACTTGGATCTCCTGACCCACCCTTGCTGAGAAACAGTTTTGCTCTGTTGCTCTAGAATGAATATGCACGATATAAGCTCAATATTTCTATACGTGTCTGACTCACAAGGGAAGGATGGTAGGTCGAAGTGGCCATTTGAAATGAGATGTATACCGAGTGAAAGGTGGGGGATGACGAAACCGTCTTCCATATCTGCTGCGGACCTCCCAGAGCAAAGTTACGGGCTTCTTTAGGGGGAGCATCTGGCATTCAATGCGAACTAGAGTCGTAAGGCTTCCTCGCTCAAAGCAGCATGGCCTAGAAGGGTACGTCGTAGGTTCTCGAACACCTCGGTCGAATATACCACTGTCGAAGAAATGCAAAGGAGGACACGCATCAAACCTTCGAGCATGTGTCCGTACAACCTACGACGTACCCACTTGGCCACGCTGCTTCGAGCAAGAAAGCCTTATGCCTCTAATTCGTATTGAATGCCAGTATGCTTCCCCCTAAAGAGGCCCGTAACGTTGGTCTGGGAGGTCCGCAGCAGATATGGGAGACGATCTCGTAATTCCCGTCCGAAGACTTTCAGTCTGTATACTTCTCAGGCGCAGTTCGACGAGGGGGGGCATTTTGTACTATCATTGCTTCCTTAGTTCCGGTTTACAAGTCTCACTCTGGCGAAACCTGTGAACTCTTGTGAAGCTGGAGCAAGGTCGTTAAGCCATCATGTTAAAACCTGTCAGCTCGAGAAGAGGCTGTCTAGATAGGCCGACACGTCGACGGGAAGTAGCGAAAGTGCAAATGCCCCCCCCCCCCCCCCGCCGAACTGCGCCTACATCTTATTTCAAATGGCCACTTCGACCTACCATCCTTCCTTTGTTAGCTGTTTGAAGGATGCCTGGTCTGTCCACACTCTTGGAATTCACCCTGCTTGCATAGGCGAATTCTGTGTATGTCACTAAAGAATTTCAACGTACATCTAATTTCTGCTGAATGGATTGGAGACGTCAAGGAAAATAGCCACGCATTAGCACGGATCCGCTTGCAATTCTCGTTGGTTGTTTTCTGTGATTGCGGGGAAAAGTAGGCCTCAAATCACATACTGGTGCGTTTTTCATGACCAATCCGGTTTTCAGTGAGGCCTCTTATAAAAGAGGATCTATCGCTCATCCATGAGACACTCCGCTGAATCACTACATGTGATCTAGACTTGCTCTTATTTCATTTTTCATCATTTTTTTTTGCATTTTATAGACTGGAGAGTAGAGAAGGTAGCTCTCCTTTCTGTTGTCATTGCCGTTGCAGTTAGCCAGGCTCTCGGGCCTAGCTCAGGAGCAATTTACTTGCGTTGACCTTTGCCTAGATGCTTTTCTGGTTTCTGGTCTACAAAGAATATCAGCGTTCTTTCCAGATGTTGACTTGGTTGAGTTCACTGGCATTCGTCACTTTGGCCGCTGCGCAATGGAAAGCTGTGAGTTGAAAGTTCATAAAAATTCGTGGAGTTCAGAGGGCTAGGTGTTGACAGGATTCTGCCCGAGGTGTTCCACGCACGCTTCTTCGATTCAGACTCGGAATCGTAGGCACAGATTTTCCGTGTGGTATGCGTGGAATAGAGTCATCCTTGAGGACTTGCAATGAGAGGGTCGTACTGACTGTTGAACGTGGGGGGGGTCTTAATGTGGAAAATTAGTCAGCAACGAACAGCGCAAAGGTGGCAGAATCGTGTTGTGTGGATTGTTACGTGTAGCACAGAGAACACGGAAAATGTTACATAATATCAAAGTAATTAATAATGCGCATCAGGCTGCGTTCATACCTTACGGAAGTGTTCACCAGCGGCCAATAGCGCCTGTCAGCGTTCTGAACGCTGGCGGACCCTGGTGGACGCTGGTGAACGCTGATAGACGCTCGTAGACGCTGCAGTTTGCTGGATCGATATTTATAGTTTCCTAGTCGCTGACGCTGACAGACGCTTGAAACAGCTGATGGTCGCTGGTGGACGCTGCCGCACAGTATGTACGCAGAATTATTTAGTCAACATAAATTCGAAGATCCGTAAGTGATGAAGTAGTGCAGCCTAAAAAATTTCGAAAAGATGGGTAGGTTTGACACCTTCCTGAGTCCCAAGGACACATCTGCTTACAGAGACAACCATTACTTGTAAGTTCCACCTTTTCATCACCTCTGCGTGGGAGCGTAATGCATGGCACGTTCAGAGATGGGCGCAATCGACGCTAAACGAACCATTTCCATTTTTCGTTTAACGAAAAGATGCATCCAACAGCATAGCTGGGTCGTTTAATGAACAGGTCCGAAATTGCGGAGAAAAAACGGGGTTTCAGAGCGATAAATCCCCGACGAAGGCTCGTGTCGTCCATCTTGTCCCGATGGGTGACTTGAGGAACACTTGAAGGAACACTTGAACAGGGAAGGCTGGAAGGAAAGCCTACGAATTGTTTGGGCACCGAGTCTAGTTTTGACAAATTCTGTTAACCAGTTCGTTACACATCCAGGCTCTCTGCGAAAGTTTTTTTCCCACAACCTAGCTATGTTAAGGCCGCTGGTCGTTCATGCTGACTGATGCTCTGCTTACGACTTACCCTCCAGAGGGTCGAATACGACACCTTCGTTGAGGAGTTCAAACATTGGTGTGCCCCTTAGCCCATCTGGTACCAACATGGCCAGACGACGCTCAACGTGTGATTCTGCGATTAGGTGCTAGGCAGAAACCCCCCCACCCTACTTGTTAAAGTAATCCCAGTCCTTAGTCTCAGGTGCCTCACTTTTGCAGACACTGCGGACTTTGCAAGCCGAAGGTACGCTGCGTCAATTACGGTCTAAGAATTTATAGTTGGGTTAGAAAAATCACAAACTGCGCGGAATATTTCATTGAATAACTGCTTCCAACAAACTGGTACCGGTTGGCCGTTTAGAAGTGAAGGGAACACTGGTGGGCTTGGGAGAGATTTGACCGCGTTAAGGAGATAGCACACACCAGTGTCCTCTGTCCTGCAAGCTGCCTCCGCTAGGAACTTGTTAACTATCGCAGAAAATGAGAAAAATTCATCGAAATCAGGCTAATGCAGAATGGGCTCTTTTATTTGTTGAATTAACCGATAGCATGAAGTACTCATCCTTGCTTTAGAAAATCCCTTGTGGATTGCCGCCGTTCGTGACCAAATTACCTACAAAACAAGCAGATCAGCTAAGGGAGGTGAGCTTTGGATTTCGAACAGACTTTGCAAGCAAATCGATATCGATTTCCATTATTTCAAGGTTTGGGCCAATTATCAGAATGGAACTGCATGTGTGGACGAGCAAAAACGAACTTTTGAAATTGTCGCCTCGCTTACCGAAGCGGAACGGGCCGCGGTTTTCGAATCGAACGTGGAACCAGGCGCTGGTCCAGTGGAAGGTCTGAGTTTTGGTTTCTTATTCAAAGTGTGTATAACGATACTAGTAAGTGGAACGAAAGCAGTAACGATGCATTTAGTTGACGATCATTTTGATACCACACCTCGATTCATTAGAATGCTCACGGCAGCTGTTCAAAGAAGGATTTGATGCTATTTGGATGAACAGCACCATTCCCAATGACGAAAAGGTGCGCGTTCACATCTCTGTTTTCAGCTGCTTACTGCTTTCATTTTTGGGACCTAATGAGCTAATGAGCTAATATTCTGAATTAGCTCAATTTTAGTATAAGCTTCTCCGGGAATATGCTGAGAAGAACTTCAACGCCGAGCAAAAGGAAGGCTTTGAAGAGTGGCTACCGCGGTGACTTTGCATTCAGAGGCCCCAATCGAAGATTTTCAAAGTACATTTCATTTAGATAATGAAGGCAAGAAAAGCTATGGATGAAAGAATCAAAAGCCTTACCCCGAAGTCAAAAGAGGTGCTGGATAAACTTACCAAGGTGAGAAACATTTCGTGGGTTGTGCTTCGAGATGGTTCGGTAATCTATTGGAGAACCACTTTAAATGCAGAAAAGAGTGAAGAAAGTAAAGTTACTTACAAATTTCCATTCAACAGCGAGTTGGAGATGGAGGATGTTTCCGTGGTGCAAACTGGAAAGTTGATGGCCATTTTCTGATCCAACTCCACAAGAATGCACAATTGAGCCATTGCACACATTGGTTGGGGATTTTGGTCGTGTTCGTACGACATCCCCCCGCCCCCTAGGGTGTGGCTTGATAGGACCCCGTCTGGTCCCCTCCTCTGATGCGACCGAGCTGTCGAGAGGGGGAGGTAGGTCGTGCCATCCCTCTTCCGATAGCGAGCAATTACGTCCACCCCCCCCCTCCCCATCCGCGCCCTCCCCCCCCCTTCTCTCACAGCATCCGTGAAACAAATAAATCAATTGTCAAAAGAAAGTTTTCTCAGATCAAATACGAGCCCCCACTCCCTCCTCCCGGCAACCAACCACGACCGCCCTGCTGGGATTCCCCAACGATGTATGCCCTGAACCGGGCCGGTGTGATTCAGTGTAGGCGGTGCTCTGATGTAGAAGAACAAAGACCTTGTTCAGGCTACCGAGCCCATTTTGCGATTGGGACAAAAATCTTGGGATAAGGATCATTTACGGAGGGAGAACTTGAACACTGTCTTCCTTCGTTTGGAAATTTGGATCTGGAGCTGGATCCGTCATGATTGCGCTTCTGTAGGTGACGAGAAGAATGAGTTTTGCATGACTCTGGGAAGGTCATTAGGTTGCTCCTGGAGTGCTACTACTCCACTACAGCTGGTGATTTAATGGCTACGTGGGCAGTGATAGAACGAACGAGCCCAGAGAGGATGCATCCTCTATCGTTAAGTGGGTGTTTCGCTGCGGGACCTTGGTGTCGATGCGATCGCTTCACATTGGGATTAGTGCGAGGAAAGGTATTACTGCGCGAGTGCTGCGTCAGACTGCGTTTATACTTTGCAGCCGG